CGGCGCTTGCCTTGATGGCAAGCTCAATTTATATCAGCGCCTGCTGAGACCCCTTTTACGAGGTCTCGCCGTGGTAACACTCTATCCCCTGCTCCCTTCTGTCCCTTCCCCTTTCCATTCCTTTCCTTTCCTTTCCTTTTCTTCCCTCTCTTCTTCCTCTTTTCAACCCCCCCTTATCATCCCTTAGCTTCCAGCAGAACGTTGCAGCTTGTCCTGAACACTCCACCCTCGCTAACCTCGAAACTCTACCCTTGCCAGTCCGAAGCGAGCTTTCTTCTTCGCCATCTTCGAGACACCAGCCGACTCTTTTCCACCCCCTTTCCACCCTCCACCTTTCTTTCTCTTCTTTCTTTTTTTCTCTTCTATTTTTTCTTCTTCTTTTTCTTATCCAAAGAGGACTCAAGGGTTCTTTCGAACTTAAACTTAAGCCGTTCGCGATCGACGTAAGGAAATAGAAAAAGTCAACTTTGATTTCTTTTCAACTGTCTGCCTTCTTTCTTTTCTATTTTTTTTTTGTGAAGAATAAAAATCTACGTACATTAAAAAAAAAAAAAAAAAAAAACAATAATATTGAAATGATTTAATTTTTATTAAAATATTTCATATTGTGTGTTTATTACTAATTTAAATAAATAATCTGTAATTCACGTGTAAAAAGAAGAAAGTTAAAGAGAGCGATAGAAAATATATTTAAATGATTAGATGTATATAGTACTATGAACAGTATCGATTAACATAATAAAAAAAAAATAATATATAGATATAACAGAAAAAAAGTGATCTTCCAAAAATAATTATCTATCAATGCAAATGAAATATTAATAAATGTTTTCAATAAATCATTAATAAAGCAAAATCTTTAGACATACACATTTAAATACTCAATAAACAATTGAGATAAATATTGTTAAATAAAAATTTCAATGCACGTTTCCGTGGTACGGATCGTTAACAGAAAAAAAGAGAGATAAAGAGAGAGAGAAAGAGAAAGAGACAATAGTGATTACTCGAAAACGGCACGTCCGTTTCCACCCACGCCGTGATTCCAGGTGCTTCTTGGGAACAGCTGGCATGGCGCACGCGCCTTGCCAAGTACTATGCGGTGATTGATCAATTTTTAAAAAGCAATGTTCCTAATTGACCGCACGATTCGATCCGATCCACAAAAGAATGAGAAAGAAAGATAGAGATAAAAAACATAGTATTCATCATTGAAAAAGGGGTCTTTTTCTAACCTCGAAGTTAAAACCTTAGTCATCTAACGAAAGGTGTGTTCGTTCGATTCGCTTTCTAAGGCAGTTGTGTTCTTCAACCTATCCCATCATCTAATATTCTTCTTTTCTACTAATATCTACTACATGGATAACCTTAGAAATCTCACGGAATGCTGACTAATCCTATCACATTAAACAACTCAAACGAGAATTAAGGTATTACTTTAATGTGAGAGTTAAAAAGGAAGGTGCTATAATATATCTCTCGAATAACGTACCACTAGTTAAAAGGAAAAATTAGATATTTTTGTGTAGTAAAATTATAAAGATAATAAAATAGAATTTATCCTTGAATTAAATATGATCTTAAATTAAACGACGATAATAACTCTATTAATAATATTTTCAGATCAAATGGATTGATAGATAGATCGTTCGATCTATCGATCGATCTAATTCACTAAACATTTATATTCGTCTTTAACTATTCTCCCTGTCGAAAGTATTATTAGAATATATTTGAATATCTATTTATAAATACTAGCCTATAGTTATAGTACACATTCTGTGGTTTTCATCTTTTATCTGATTTTGTATATATCTCATAGCGTTTCGAAAGAAAAAAAAACACTGAAACACCATGAACTAAAAAGAATAAACCGAAACAAAAAAAAAAAAGAAATTGAGTCGCTAATTCGGGGGCCGTAACTCAACGATATATTACATGTAGGTCCTGCTCGTCGAAAGCTCTCGTTTGCAGGCAGTTATTTCGTAACAGGAATCATTAGCGTATGGCTGCGTTAATTAGCGGAAGTTCCGCACGTACCTCTACATACGTGCTTGCAACGATGCAACTACGATGCGACGGTATTGAAAATAGTATATGTAGTATATGTGATAATATGAGATATATAAACGTTCGTTTCTGACTCTATACTGAACATATACACACACACACACACATATATATATATATTTATATGTTTGTATATATGTATATATGTATATCACGCCTCCCCTTCGTGTTTTTTTTCCCTCGCATGGGTTCTATCACTGATGCTCACTCGGCGTGGAACGGCGAATTATCCATGGGCTTTTAGCCATAGTTCTAGCGTGAAATCAGTGCAACAAACCACACCTCTAAACCCAAAGATTATATACGAATATTCTTGTCTTTTTATAATCGAGACCAAATATTTTACACAAAAATGTTTTATTCTAATCAAATTCATTGAAATGATTTCTCAATTGAAATAAATTATAATACACATACACATAGTATACATATACATTAAATATAAAAAGCAATCATATCTAAAAATGATATACGAATGTTCTTATCTTTTCTATGATAAATTGAGGAAAATGTGATAAGAATTTATTTTACTAACTAAATTTGTTGGAATGATTAAATTAATTCATGATAATAAACTGTTACTCATATATGAATAAACACATACACACATGTACAGATTCATTGAATATTGATTTCAACGAAAATTTAATTACATTAGTTTGTCTCTTTGAGTGTTTGGTAAATGTAACTAACTTTAATTACGAATTAACAGATAACGAATTAAAGAATGGTTACTGTTGTAAATGCATTACATATAGGATGTAGTTAACAATATCGACGTTGATGTAAACGTGTGGTTTGCGGAATGAATGAGTAAGAGAAAGAGAGAGAGAGAGAACTTGATGTTGTAACTGTAACACATAACCTAAATGATTTAGCCAGAAATGCACTTAACAAAGTCTTGTTCTAATGCCATTATCTCGTCACAATCATCCATCCTTTCGTATTCTGGATGATAGAAGAGAAAGAGAGTGATTGAGATGATAGAACTGCAAGGTACTCAATAAGACAGATGTTAGGATTGATTAAGGGAGATATACTAAGACGACTCGTATCGAAATTTTCTCTACTTTTACTACGTTAGATAAATGAAGATTGAAAAACAAAATATATGTATATGTCAAAGGTTCTTGGATTCTTGGAATCTAAAAAGCGATCGTTCTGGTGGTCGTGGCAATACCTAAAGCAGGCTAGAACGTGTAAACCCCATATATCCAATTAGATTCGTATAATCCGTGCACGTTAGCAGAGAGGGTGTCTCTAGCTTCTGCGATCCCCCTTCATTCTCTCTCTCTCTCTCTCTCTCTCTCTCTTACTCTCAGTGATTGTGTGTGTGTGTAAGTGTGTGTATATATATGATTCGTTGGTGAGGCTGCGTCTGCGCAATGTACTCCAACGCTAAAGTACTAATTTATGGGCACATATGAGACGACTATAGTACGCGCTACTGTGCCAGAAAAGGGACTCTAGCTTGTGCACGGAACTATAGTGGGGAGAAACAGGAGGGTAGGGTAGGGTATGGGTAAGGTAGGGTATATCGGAGAACACAGAGGCGGGCTTTGCATGCGATATCAATAAATCAAGTCCCCGGGACCCCGGCAGCTTAGGAGGGCACTACGTGGCCAGAATCAACAGCTCATAACGTCGGCTAATAGCTACCCGCGGTGGGGTCGAAGATATTGTCCTAACGCCCAGGGACATCTTACCCACCTAGTGTTGGATTCTCTATCTCTATCTCTATCTCTCTCTCTCTCTCTCTCTCTCTCTCTCTATCTCTCTATCTATCTATCTCTATCTCTCTCTATCTCTATCTCTGTCTCTCTTTCTTTCCATCTGTTATTCTTCTTCTTCTTTTTCTTTCTTTCTTTCTTTCTTCTTTTGTTTCTTTCCTTCCAACCTACCACCACCCTCTCTAACTTACCACTGCTAACTCACTCGAAGAAAAATCGTCGTTGGTGCTTCGATAAAGAGAACCTGAAAAGATACTTGCTTCTACTAGGTAGCGTTTGCTCTTGCGCTTCGTGCCATGAAAATATCGATTTCGAGGGTTTCGCCCAACGTACCTTTACCGTGATTCTCGAATTAATACACGAATTAGTTCATGAAATATATCTGTTGTTATTTTATCGTTCTTTGGTTTGATAATTTAATGAACAAAACAAAACAAAAATGCAATTCTTTTCTTTTAATATTTTTCTTTATTTTCCAAATTCTTTGAAGGTTGTAAATTATTTTATTGTTCTTTTATATATTTTTCGTTTATTGTAGATTACATTGGTTTGACTTTACTTGGATATTGTATGCACATTAATTTGATTATTTAATGAAGTGGAAAATAATATGTCTTTGCGTATGTTTGTTAATATTAAAATTTAAGGACTGTCACAAACACATATTTCTTTATTCTCCCTTTTACGGGTTCAAGTCACTTCTTTATGAATACCTTCCCGCATTAACCCAATGCTATATCAAAAAGGTCCTGTCTTTTTACCGCCCTTTTTAGAGTCAACAGCAAATGGTTTTTATTTTTCCAAATAGATCACACATCCATTTTACTAAACGTACCCACGTTGCTTAATTATAGTGATCTGATGAAAAGTAATCTATATATAGTAAAGTATAATAAAGTATAATAAAGTAATCTAACGTAAAATGGAAATAGAATAAAAACGCGTTTGTTTTAAGAAATCCAACTTGTCTAAGATTGATTGCAATTCTTTCAATTTATTTCAAACAAAACTGGTGTGTGATGCATTTGTATGAATTCTTCCCATAAAATTAAATAACACGATAGCTTTGATATTTTGTTCTAAAATTATTTCTCATCAATTTTGACCAATATTTATCATACTAGTTAATAAACACAATTATTGCAAATAAAATGAATACAATTTATTATGAAAATTAACGAATGATTGTTATGGATTTAGGTATGGTTTCAAAATCGTCGAGCAAAATGGAAGAAACGTAAAAAGACAACAAATAACATGTTTGGTGCGACCGGTACTTTACTACCGTCGCATGGTTTGCCACCTTTTGGTCCAGATCTTTGCGGAGCTGGGATGTTTCAAGCACCCGCGGAGAGATGGGGAGTGAGTACAGGTCAGAAGTAAATAATTTTCTTTCTAAGTATAACTTTATTATCTTTTTCCGAATTTTTTCCTATTATCATTTGTTCAACCTATCAAAAAACACGAGCAGGTGATTATGACAGTTGTTTGTGTCAAGAGTAATATCAATGTTTCATTTCATGACATTTCATTTCTATTACAGTACTACAATGTTTTATATCGATTTTTAAATTTGGAAGTTTTACACTCGAATTTTTACAACCCCACGTGAGGTCGTCAGAGTCAGATTAAAAAGTTCTGTTATGTATAAGTATATTGAATTTTGTGCACTTGTAAATAAAATACTAACTGAATCAATAAATAATGTCGGAATTGGTAGTATTTTGTTTATAAATTAATAATTATTTATATTATGAAATAATGTTTTTAATTGTGTCCATTGTAACAATTACCCGCCCGCATGCTTGTACTATTCTTTTTTTTTTATAATTATTGCTTAAATAATGACAGGAAACACGTGATGTAGGTACAAAGTAATTAATTAGTGTCTATAATGAAAGATAATTAATATAATTTCCAAGTGTAGATAAATTAATCGATAGACACGGAGATTCACGATATGTATTATATTGCATACACACACAGACATATATATATGTATATTGGTGATTAGAATGAGATTCCTAGGTGTCACTTTAACAAGCGATATAACTAATTAGCAAAAAGTTCATATATTCGGAAGAAGAATAGGAAGAAGTCCAGTTAACGGGCAAAGTCGCGTCGACGACAACGACGACGACGGTGTTTGACTTTTAATTTAATTTCCTTCCTTCCTTCACACCGACGGAAGGTAACTTCGAATTACTTAAGTCTTTTATTATACCTTCTTTATACGAATATCTACACATTTGCTAAAAAGATGAAAAAGATGAATAAAAGAAAAAGAAAACAAAAAATCAAGAAAGAAATTGTTTAGCTTTTTGTAAGACGAATTATTTTATAATTAAAACATTTTAATTCAATTAAAATGAAATTTGATATAATATTTTCAAACTTATTTTCTCTATCTCTTTCTCTTTTTCTGTTTTATTGTAAATTGTATAACTATGAATAAGATCATATTTAATAATATATTTATCTTTGTAGGTCTCGGCCTGGGACAAGGTGGTATGGGCATGGGTGCTTATGGACAATTAGGTCAACAAAGCCCCAGTACTCTTGGCAACTTGGGTCTTGGCAACTCTGGCCTGTCGATCAGCAGTCCTTCCCAGACGGTCTATCAAACGAATTACGGATTAAATTCTCTTGGTAAGTCAACATATTATTGTGGAAACAAATAAAATAAAACATTGAGAAAAAAATATTTCAATTAGAATATTCATTGATACGAGTTATTAGATTGGTCAATAAATAAATGTTGAAATGAACAATATTTTACATGCAAACAAAAAACCGTAAGAATATTTTATACAATATTATTCTATTAGGTTTACTTGCACACTTGTAAGTAAATTAGTAATTGAGTGAATAAATAATATCGAAATTTGGATACTGTAAAGTTACCACTGTATTCTATCTAAACTTTATATATCCTATTTATATTTTATTTTCTCTTATTCTCCATTCATACAAATAATACCGTGTTATAACTATTAACGTACGGTTAATAAAATCTCTATTACTAGTTTCAACGAGTAAGAAAGTTAACTGAAAATATCACAATATTTCGAAGTTTAAACAGCGAATATTCCAGTTCGTGGGTGCTTATGGTTGCTTCGATAATCGTCTTGCCAAACTTTTCGGACTGTGATCTTCTAAAAAGCGACGTTTATGCAAACACTATCAAAACTAAAAGAGGGAGAGAGAAGCATGTCTTTGACGAAGTCGTTAAACGTTACACGATGCATTATCATTCCGAAGGAGTTATGCGCCTGCACGTAAGGAATTTGAGACAGAAACATAAACTCTATCCTCCCGTCTGTTTACTCAGGCAAACTCCGAGGCTGGTCTCGCACCTAGGTGTGAGATCTTTCGCTGTATATTTACCATAACATCTCGATGCATCCTGTCTTCGCTGAGTTACGCTTCGACTAAGTCTGCAGATCTTATGTATGCATGTATGTATAGATGTATGTGTGTGTGTGTGTGTATATATACTTTTTTGAACGGGTCTATGTGGTATAACCCGAAGAATCCTTTGTTTCGAGAAACAAGTTTTCTTGTATTCTTCTACAATTTGTTTCTTTTTTTTTCTTAATTTACCAACTCTTTCATTCGTAAAAATATCTTTTAAAAACAACCCCGAAGATAAATATTCGTATTTTTTAACTAAAAATTTATTGACGAATGTCTTCTTAAAATATCACGAAATCAATGTTGAGACGAATTTACAATAAATTTAGGCAAATTGTATAGGTATATACAAATTGTATATGTTAAGAAAATCTTTCTATATTCTCATATATTTCATAGCGTAACACAGTTTCACAACTCACCGAAGGGACTATTTAACAGCACAGCAAAGTCAGCTCGTACGTAACGCATATATGTAAGGATATGTATATGCATACATATATGCATACATCTATATATATATATATACGTTGTGTCAATTATCACGTATTATCACCGTACGAGCAGGTCCAATGAAATAGCAATGGAAAGAGAGAAAAGAGTTTTAAAGAAAATGAAGTGTTGGAAGAAAAGAAAGAGACAGAGATATAGCAGAAACGTTGGATATGTTTGTGTTGCCGTGTATGTGTATTTTTGAGCTTACGCACGTATGAACGGTCCTTAACGTTGAAAATGTTTCACGTTAGAATCTCAAAACTCAGTGGTGACCATGTTCTTTTCTTCTTCTTCTCGTTCTATAGCTACCACTCGCCTTTTACGTTCTTCGATAATACTTAGGGCAAATAGCTTTTAGAGCAGAGCTATCTTTTCTCTCTTTTCAATGATAATTAACACCGAAAGAGCGCGAGAGGCTCGACTCCAATGATTTTCTCGAGTTCCACTTTGAAAATATTTTTTTTTCTTTTCTTTACATTTTCATCCATATCAATATTATTTCGAATTATGTGAATTTTGGATTTAATCTTTTTATATAGTTGATAATCATTATCTTTTACATATATAAATTAATAATATAATTCTTATACTCGCGATATGTATCAAAAATTGATTTATCTTTAATCTTTCGCGTTATCTCATTAACATTTATTTGAATTTAATTATTAAATCAAAATATTATGAATAAAAATATTTCTTAACATTGAATTTATTGATTTATTATTGTATTCTATAATAAAGATATTTCAAAAAAAATTTTTTTATTATATATTTATTATAAATTTTATTTTTTTTATATTATATTTATTATGATTATTTTTATTTATTATGTTGAAACGTAATAAAATTTTATTAAAATATGCGGTTGCTCTCTTGTGTGTACGATTTTATAGAGGGTTAAATCGATCTTCTTTTCTTAATACGTTTTACAATGTATTTCTACATTTTTCTTAGATGTCTAAAGTTAAAAAAAGAAAAAAGAAGAAAAAGAAAGAAAGAAGAACATGATTATTATCTATCCTAGTTCTTTCTTTTTTTTCCTGTCTAATGTAAGTTCCTTTAGGAAAAAGGGTGCACCTTTCTTTCTTCTTCTCTCCGCAAACTCGAGTTCCCATAAAAAAGTTTCTCCCTTCGTGAGTTTTCAAGCTTCTCTTCTTTTTCTTCTTCTTATTCTTCTTTTTCCCCGATGGTGGCCACCAACGCGGGTTGAGTGTTTTATGACTACCGTGTTTGGTAGCACGACCCACGCACTTTGTGAATCTACCGCATTAATATCGGCATACAATACAAGTCGGAACATCTTTATCGAAAGAAAGCGCCCTTAGAAATTTCTCCCTTTTGCTACCTGCTAGATAGACATCTTTGTGATATTCGGTCAACTAATATATCGTCAAATTTATTTCGATAAACATCGGTTCATTCTGTTTTATAAGATTTTTGGTTCAACCCTTTAGTTACTTACAATCCCTTTATATGAATTGTTCATACAGAAACATTGTATGAACTACTGACCACTATACTATATACTACATACTATTGACCACTATACCTATATACTATATATGACCACTATACATCTATGAACACTATACCATACGAAGATATGCACGTACGAGCTAATTTATATCAAAAAATACTAATGTTAAAGTATACCGTAACAAACAAAAAATTATAGCTAATAATCGGGCCTTTTTATTTTGTATATTTTTTTTCCAAAAACATAATATTATTAATCGAATATTATATTTAATATTAAAATCGTTTAATATGTGAATCATTCAAATATTTAATAATTCTTACCTAAAATAAAAAGAAACGTATACTTATATAAACGCCGTAGAGTGTTGTTATTGTCGAATCGTACTTTCTATGACAACGAACGAAACGAGAATGAGGGGAAAGACGTATAGGATAAACAATTTAAATAATACAGTGATAAAGAAGTCTCGAGAGTTGACCTTTTAGTTACCTACAAACGTTCGACATATATATACGTTGAGAAGAACGAAAGAATAAGCATTTTAAACGTTATTATTATTACGATGTCTCGAATATTAACTGTCGGTATAATTATATATAATTTCACATATATTATATATTAATTTAATACTTTTTTGTTACTTTTTAGTATACTGCAAACTATTATTTATTTTTTTTAATATCATTCGATCTATATATAATTTTATTTTCCTAAATATAAAAATATTACAATATCGAACATCATTAAAACTTTCTTTTTTTTATTGATCGTTTATTATAAAAGTGGTGTAAGTCTATTTTTGAAATCAAATTGAAAAAATGAATAATTCTTACATTAAATTATTAACAAATCATAAAAGTTAGGTGCATTCTCAATTTTATTTCAAAAAACTAAATTTATATTATTTTTATTATAAACGATACTAAAAGTAGTTTTACCTAACAGAAAAATTGTAAATTTATTTTTACCAGATATTTAGATCAATGATATTATTTTCGTGGACCCATAATTTAAACACCAGAGTTTTATATCTTAAAACAAAAAAAACAATATATAATAATTCTATTGACAAACCAATATTGATTTTTTGTTTCCTCGATAAAGTAACTATCACCTAAATAATATCATTTACGTAAAGTTAATTTTTATATAATAAAATAACGTGAAATTAAAAATTAACAGGAGTCGTACAGGTCTCAGCGTCACGGGGTTCACCACCAGGAGGATCTTCGGTTGGTGGAGGCCAAGGAGGAGGATTGAATTCGGCGTTGAATTGTGCGCAGGGTTCACCGGGTTCGAGTTCAGGTGGTGGAGGATCGGCAGCAGCTGGTGGTGCAGGAGGAAGTGGTATATCTTGCGTTGGTGGTGAAGTCAATGCGGACGAAGCTTCGGGATGGAGAGGTGCTCATATTATTACAGGACTTAGGCGTCGAGCAACGGATACCTCGCAACAATATAGTCCGCAATCTCATCCACCACCATCGGCTCCATTACCGTACACTCATGGCATGGAATATAGCTCTGCGTACTGAAATCTTCTTCGAGTTATTCAAAGTTTCCCGCTATTCCTCGTGCAATCAGCCATTTTGGTTACGAGAGGACGCGTCACGTGACGTTGTTAGTAAGAAACAAAAAACGACTTCGCGAAAAAAAAAGGAAAAAATAAATTTTACCAGTGTTTGTTTGTTTGTTTGTTTTGCGAATTATTTTGTTGTTACGAAACTTTATGGATGTAATTAATTAATTCAATGATTAATTAATTAAGCTTCCGTTGGTACATATATGTCGATAATTATATATATAATATATAAGAATAAGGAAAAATAATTAGATAGTAGAAAAAAGATAATGAAGAGGATAAAGTTGCAATGTATTTCATCTAAGAAAACGATAATTATTAGATTAAACGTGATTTAAATAAAGAAAATCTAGTCGATCTTGTTATCTATCTCTGACAAAAGGATGATACGTTTGATCGTCGAGAATTTCGTCATAAATGGTGATTATAGCGGCGAACGTTTTACGAGAAGACGAAAATGAAGAATAAAAAAGAAGTAAAAAGAAAATAATAAAAAAAGAAGATGAAGAAGAAGAAGAAGTATACGACGAGTTATCTTAGTATTATGGTATACGATGAAATTCAAGGAGATGACGCATTTTCAGTGAAATAGTCAACGATAATGATCAAGTTAACTTAATTACTGAAATATCTTTTGCTCTCTCTCTCTGTCTCTCTCTCTCTCCCTCTTTCTGTCTCTCTCTCTCTCTCTCGCGTCGTTTTACGTATAATAATAATAATTATAATAATAATAATATTAATAATAATATAATAATAATATTAATAATAGTAATAGTTATTAGTAATATTAATATTAACAATAATAATAATAATATTAATGAAGGCATTGTAAATATTATCTTAAGGAATTGACGTGAAAGCTATTATTATATCGATATCATAATTATTCATTTTTCATGATAAATGCGAAACGCGTAATGGATATTAGTCGATGTTTATGGTGTCGGGAGAGAATCTTATTAATTTAATTACAATTAGACCAAAAATCGTCGTATGGTGCTTTGTGAGAGAAATTCGTCGAGTACCTAAATACTATATATATGTTACAGTCTCTTTTTTTTTTTGAATATCCAATGACGATATATCCTAAATCCACATGAACCGGTTTTATGATACCTTAGTGTTATTTTTTCTTACAAAACTTGTAAGATACTTCTTTCTTTCTTTCTTTCTTTCATTCATTCGTTCATTCATTCATTCATTCTTTCTTTCTTTCTTTCCTTCTTTTTTATTTCCTTCTTTCTTATTTCTTTTTTAGAGAATATTTTTCTTATCCTTTCGTTGCTCACACCTTTTGTGTTAGGCATTATGTCATTATAACCGACCAACCTTTTCGAATATATCGAGTCGTTCCTTTTTTTTTAAATCTATGAAAATACGTCATAAAATAAGGTCGGTTGCGTCTCGACGAAGTATGTCGAAACTTTGAAAAAAAGAAAAGAAAAAAACCAACGAGAAAGAAAAACAGAAAGATTTGTTAAACTCAATAAACAAAAAATGAAATATCTCGAGTCTGAAATAAATGGGGGAGACGCGTATTGTCGAAAAAATCATTTAAGAAATGAGACGAATTATTTAAAAAGGATAATAAAAAGAACAAAATAATAAGAATCCAGTGGATTCGAAACTTCGACAGATTTCTCGGCTATCCGTCCGAGAGGAAAAGTGTTTAAAAAAAAGAAAGAAAGATGCAGAATCTCTTATCAGGAAAACTATAATAATAATAATAATTAAATATTATTAATAAACTAATAATAATAACAATAGATCTTTAAATGATTGTCACCGAAAGACACCAAGGTCCGTGTAATTAAATAATAAAAAGTATACGTTTAATTAAGATAGTAGTACCTAATTAATAAAATCAGCATAAGAGAGAGAGAGAGAGAGAGAGAGAGAGAAAGAGAGAGATAGTATGATGATGATAAAGATGATGATAATGATTATAATATCGAATTTCAACGATAAGGTGAGACAAGTCCTTAAATTGCGACAAAAAAAAAAAGAAACTGAAAAGAAAAAAGAAAAAAAAAAGAAAAAAAAAAAAGAATATTTACTATTAGAACGAATATACTTGGACATTGTGATATTTATGAAGTCTGTCGTCGACTTCCCTCTTCCAACTTCGTCCCTCACTTTTTTTTACCCCAATGCTACCCTTAGCCCTCAATCCCTCAAACCTACTCCCCACTACAACTCCTTCCCTTTGAAAAATTTCCCATCATTGTATTTTTTTGTTTTCTTTCAGACAGCCGAGAGACTCTACTCTGACATTTAAAAAAAAATGAGATTTATTATCTCCGTCATTGCGAGAAATAACGTAATTGAATTAATTAAAACGAAAAAAAAGAAAAATAATCTATTGAACGAGACGACGACGATTTATTCTAGTTACGAATTTACGGTGTAGAATTGATCTTAGGTGAATAAACAACAACAACAAAAATTAAACTATTATTATAAATAACATTGATGAATTTAAATAATAAAATAAATAGGCAAGTTGTCGGTGTATTATTACTACGAAATGTATACGATTTTTAATGTACAAAATTAAAACACGAGAGAGGAGTAACAGAGGAAGAAAAAAAAGTGAAAAAAAGAAAAAGGGAAATGAAAAAGAAAAAAAAAAGTAATAATAATTATAACGTGCTAACGAATGTAAAATAATTTGTCCTATGTCTTTGGATCATTTTGTTTCCTCGTCTTACGCTCAAACGTGAAAAAAAAAAAATAAATTTCAACGCGCTTAACAAAATTAACATCATTATAGTAACTACCCTTAACCTATCCAATCCGCATTTACCCTTATTCCCAAAAATATTATACCAGACGATTATAATTACTCATATTCGATGAGAAATATGAGTAGTTTTGGATTCTTTTGAAATTTACACACATTTATATTTTGTCTTTTCTTCTCGTAATTGAAATGTTCAAATTGGAATAATTTAGTTTTAAATTTGCTTGATCATGATCGCGATTGTTCGTTGATATTAAAAAAAAAAGGATTAAAAAATGAAATTATTAATGAAATGAGACTTTTTTTAAATCGCAAAGAACAACGACAATTAATCGCAAGCGTTGATTATTCCTCGATCATGCATATACTTATAACTGTTATTTGTAAATTGATCTATATATATATATGCTATTTAATTTATTTGATAAGCATACGTGCATAAATTGATGAACGGTGAGATACGAATAATAATGAGAGAAAGTGAACGAATGTGTTGTAAGTACGTACGTGTGTATCTGTGTGTGTGTGTTTATGTATGTACGTTTGTAAATGCGTGAAAGATGAAAGAGGCATAATTTACTTTATCCCGCACAATTTGGCACTTATAAATATATTACAATAAAGTTTTGTTCAAACGTGCTTCAAATCATGCAAATGTGTTACTTTAACAAAACAAAAAAACTAAAATATATTTAAAAGTATTTCTTTCGGATTTTTTCCATTTTTAAAAGCCCAATTGAGTTATGGAATAAATAAAAAAAAAAAGAGAGAAAAAAAGCATTTGCGTGGTTGAAAAGTTTCTAGGTGGATCAAGGATTCTTGGATTATTTTCAAAATCAATATCTTCTTTTTTTCTCAAAACATTTCAAAGAAATTTTACGAGTTAGGCTTGTGTTTCACAATATTGAAAAAAAAAAACAAATTAATTTAACGAAGTAATTGATTTTTAAAATCATTTAAGAGAATTTTTGATCCACCCCGTACTTTATAGAAAGAAGTGTCTGAAGAAAAAGAAGATGATGTTGACGACGATTAAAAAAAAAAAAAAAAAACAATGAAAAACCAACACAAAAAAGAAAAATTAAAAACAAAAAAAAAATTATGGACTGACTTCTTCGCACTTTTGTCACACAAATCCCATTTATCGTCTTTTAGTGATAAATAGATGAACTTTAATTTTCATCGTTATATACATAGTTGTGTATAGAGGTCTCAACTAAATGTGTAAAAATAAATCATTGAGAAAGTATAAACGAATATCGAAGTCTCTTGCCGCTCACAAAATACGCCGAAGATAATATTTCGCTTTTTTCAATTAGTGTATATCAATAATAATTAATTAATTAATTAATAATAATGATAATAAAAAGAAATAAAAGAAATATACACAGAAATTTTATTGAAAATATATTATATTTAAATATGCGTACACAGATAAAGATATAGTAATGCTACTTATGGAATTAATAATATGCATTGCATATATATATTTTATATAATATTATCATTAATATAATATTATTAATGTGTAATATGTATCAGAGCTTCTCAAGGTAAGGGCTTTCCAAATGGGGTCATAAAAATTAGAATAAGACTAAAAAATGTCTGAACGCACAATTATCAAAAATTAATTCTTAACCAGTTTAACTGAACTACATGTATAATATATTTATGAGTTTATGATAGTGAAAAAGAAGATAGTATACAGTCTATACCCAAAGTTGTGAAAATATTTGCTCGGGTAAAGGGGGTCACCAAATATAAAAGTTTGAGAAGTCCTGATATGTGTTATACTACTAATATTAATAATATTATTAATACAATATTATATGAAATTCATATATTATATAATATATAATAAATAAATTATATACATATATATAATATTGAAGAGAGGAAACACATAAATGATCGTAAAGGATATTAATTTATTGTGTGTTTCAGATAGACGAAAAGATAAGAGATATCAATTATTAATCAGGTACTATATGAGTGTAGAAAAAGATCGTTCATTTTCAACGAGATTTCAATGGAAAGTATTTTTTCATTTTTTTTAGGAAGTTACTTATCGTTACTATATTTTATTTTTTATTTTTAGGTATTTTTTCTTTTATTTCTTTTTTTTTTTTAATTAATAGAATCCAATAGACTATATAGATAGATCATTAGGAACAATTATAGAGAGGTTGTGAAAGCACGGTTAACCGTTATAATGCAGTCATCGTTTAGTAAGTAGCTGATAGTTTTAAAGCCAATTACTTATATCGACACTCTCGTTTGTGTATATGTGTGTATGTGTGTGATTAGCTATACTTAAATAAGCAGTCATCAAAAACGACAATAGAGATATTCGATTACTATTATCGTTATTGGTATGATTTATACGATATGTCCCTGTATAATACTGTATAATACTGTATAATATATCATTCTGTGTGTATGTGCGTGTATACATGTGACATAGACTTTTTTAAATTGTTAATACTTAACAGTAGTAGTTAATCAACCAACGACTTGAATTTAAAATCTTTTTTTCAACTTTTTTTTTTGTTTCTAAGTAAATTCAAATCCTTAATTGTTTTTAATATTTTTTTTGTAAAAAGTTGGATACAGCAGAGTCGTTAAAATAGTGGTAAAAATAGAAAAAATAATTTATAGCGAATATCGAATACGATTTCGTGTGAACACGCTTTAAGTTTTTGTAATATTATATCATCGAAATTAGTATTATTATTTTTAGATTAGAAAATGCGATTAAAATGCAATTTTTGTTGTTGCATTTTTTATTTTAATTTCTTGCTTTGAAACGTTTTTTTCCATTTACTACGTCGATAATAAGAAATCTATCTTATCTATAGTTTACTGTTTTATCAACGATCATTTTTACCGACTAGAATGAAAGACTGTTACATTTTTCAAACTAAAAGATCCTAAAAAATTTACACACATAAAGATGTCTATATTCGAGAGAAAAAGATGGTAATTTTTCTTTAAAAATCGTAGAATACAAAAATAAATAAATAGCTTTTTCTTACAGCCACATTATTTAAAATATTTCTCATTGATCATAGCATTAGTATAAATAATTAATTTTTGGAAATATTAATATACATAAATATAAATATATATATCATCGTCATAAAATCGTTTTAAAAAGTCATAAAAAGTATGATGATTATTTTCCTTTTTCATACCAAATTCAAACGATACCCATATTTCGAATATCAACCTGATTTTTACATAAATAATATTAAATGCATTCAGATATACCCTTTCAATTATGCTTATACGATTCAACATTTTCTTTTATGTACTTAAAAAATTGTTAAAAAATATTTTAATAAAAAGAATATGTCGGATAGAATGCAATGTTGAAATCAAAGCTTATTATCATACCGTATCAATCTTAATTACAATATTCAGTTATATTATTACTCCAATTCCAAATAATATTTCATTATCGTCACTTATATTATTTAAAACATATTTATTAATTATTTGATTACCTTTTAATTCGAACAATTTCGATGCAAACACAATCGGTCGTTTGAAACTCCAACACACAATGTTCCAACGGTTTTTAAATCACATATGTGCAAGTAATATTGGTTCTTTTAAAAAAAATCGACCAATCAGAAGAGCAGTATGAAAACTGCTTATTAATTGGCAATCGCTGATTAGTCAATTAACTGCCTCGCTTTCTAACGAATCAATTTATTTCATTCGATCAAGAACTGTCTTTTCTCGCTGAACCAAGTAAGTATTTTGAATTTAATTTTTATCGATTATATTATCGTATGAATTTTTTTTACGTTGATATCGTTTAAAAATTATTGATGTTAGAATTATATGAAATTTTATGTTTAAATTCAAAATTTGGTTAATGTGCATTACGTCGTTTGATTAACGTATAATTGATTAACGTAATATCAAGAACGTCCATTTTGTTTCTCTTTTGCTTTTCAATGTCATATACATTTTTAATATATATATTACTTTCGAGTAAGGTTATTTTGTGTTTGTTCACGTATTTAAATCATCATGTTTAAACTATGTTCAGGACGTTCCTCATCTGAAGTTTCTGGTTCAGTATTCAATTTACTGAAGTCACGTTTGTTGGGACGTTTATCGGAAAATTTGAAACCTTTGCCTCTTCGTTTTTCAAGTAAGTTGGAAAGTTTAAAGTTTTCTCTTCTTTCTGCTTCCCAATGCATTCTTTTACGCATCATTAATAAACATCCTGTGAGACATATAAAAATATTGTTACGGTTTAAATTATTGCAACATTTAAGAGACAACAGTATTTGTGTTAGGTTTCTCAAGGAAATAAAAAAGATGGTCTTTTTTATAATTGTGCGCTGAAATCAATTTGTATTTTTTAATAGTGTGTAAAGATAATAATAATAATAAATATAGATAATATAAAATAACAGTATACAATAAAATAAAGGAAGCACAAAAGAAACTAATTAAATTATACATAAACTATATCAAGTAACATGCCAATATAGTACATCAAATAAAATATCAATTACTATGCGATTAACAAAATACATATTTTTTATGAATATTATCAATCATTTAAGTAATACTCTTAGATTATTATTGGAATGTATTAATAATAAACAAGATGTCTGTTGTTTTTTTTTGCCAAATGTTTGGCCAGTAGAACCTCGGACACAGTAAGATCAAAAGAAATGTTTGATATTACTGTGATTATTTTTATATAAATAAATCAGGGATGGAAACATTGGCAGGATTTAGTTTTTGCGGCAACAAACTTTCGAGTTCTTAATGCCAATTAATAATAATAATAATAATAATAATAATAACAATATTATATAAAATATCACAAGAAGAACTTGACCATTTCTCTAAAATCTAATTAAAACGAATAGAAGGAAGAACGTGTTAAGTAAATATTATAAAATAAGTTATAATAAATTATAATAATTACAGTACATGCAAACCAAATTCCACTAATCGGTCAGACATGCTTATACATATAGTTGCACCGATATAAATTATTTGGAAAAAAAAAAGAAATAAATTACTCATTCAACCAATTTTTCAAATTCAACATTAGCCTCTTCGTAATGATGGAATCTACCTCTTTTTTGACACCTCGCTATAACAGCAGCGGTAGCCACACAAACTGTGATAAGAATAACAGTAGTTGTAACAAGAGATAATATTAAAGTTGCCATAGTAGTTTTTGAATTAGACAATTCTTCAGAATTTGTATCAGTTAAAGGTGCGGTTAGATGATGAGTCGATGAATGTGTAGAATTTTCTGTTTTAACACTGGCTGTTGATTCTGTGATATAAAATCATAAAGTAAATTAGATTAATTTATTGTTTTCTTTTATATTCAATCAAAATGTACTTACTTTGTAAAAACTTATATATCTTGAATGTGTCTAAATCTACAATGTAAATTTCTGATCCATCATTGCTTACAGCTATGTCATGTGGTCTTAGAAATCTTTGCGTAGGTGCAAACTGTGATAATATATTCCCTGTATTGATGTCTACAATAGAACCATGTATATGCTCATTCAGATAAACTGGATCAGGTCCATTGATCAAGTAAAGTTTTTCTTGTGCGTATGCAGCACTGTAGATTTTTGTACCAATATTGGAATGCTTGTACTGTTTATGGAATGTGCCATTACTAGCAAAAAAACAAGAAACTCTACCATTTTCTCTATCGACAACAAAAATGTAATCAAGGTTATGTGCTAGAGCTAATGCATGTGGTAAAAAGAATGCACTAGGCGGTGGTGGTTGTAGATAATTCATACCTACAAAAAATAAATATAAATTAGTTATATTACAAGATTAAAGGATAAAATAATTTTCTAATTTATTTTATTCTAGTAGTTAAAAATATTTACCTCCCCAATGACGACCCCATTGTAAGATTTGTTCACCTTTCTTGTTAAACTTAATAATTCTAGAATTACAATAACCATCGCTGACAAAGAAATCTCCATTTAATTGTACAGCAACTGCTGTTGGTTTACAAAATCTTGTTTTATCGTTACCAGGTTCAAAAGCTTCTCCAAGAATTAGAGATGGTTTTATAATACTGTGTTTAAATAAGGCAGCTCGATCATGCATATCAATTTGTACAAATTCTGTATTGTATTGTTCTCTTTTTAATTCATTCCAGCATGCCTTTATATCGTTAGCATCAAATTTCAATACTTGATGTAAGGCAACATCTGTAATCCAGTAATTTCCTTCGAAGTCTATTGTCAATCCATGAGGTAAATAAAACATATTTTTACCCCATTGCAATAATTTTTTCCCACTTTTATCCATAAGTAAGATAGTGTTTTGTCTTATCGGACCTTTATTAGGATCAAATTTATTTTCATTATCAAATGTATCTTGGTCCCAACTTCTATTTCCTCTATGGAACAATACTATGTTTCCATTAGGATGCAACGACACTGATGATATTTGTCTTAAATTCAAATCGGATCCCCATTGAGAATCCCATTCTATATCTATGAGAAAAATTAGATATACATTTGTAAATAATATAAACAATATTTGAATAAATATAAAAGAATTCTTACTTGGATCTAATACTTCTGAAGATTGTGTAGATATTTCGCTATCGATTGTATTAACATTTAGTAACTGCATATTACGATTGGAAGGAAGTGTTGGATTCCATTGAGGTGCTAAAGGTCCTACCTTTCTATCTGCATTGTCTGAATACTCAGAATACTCATTAATATCAAATTTTGTATCAGGTAAGTGAATTGATTTTTCCTGCATAATAATAAATTTTAATTAATCTACTTCCATATGTTAATATGTATCATACTTAAATATATTATGTTTAGAAATGAAGGACCATATTTACCTGATCATTTGACAAATCTTGGGACAACGTCCCAGTAAAAGCAGAGATGATAAATAAAATATTAAAATAGCATAGAATGTCATGTCGAATGAGCATCATTCTTAAACAAAATTGTCATCAGCTTTGGACGCAAAGTTAATTCGCTCGCTTTAAATCTCATTTAGTACATCGCTCGTTAATCGCACTGTGTTAATTAGAATATTCTAAGAAACTGTTAAAATGATTCTATGCAAAGTATTATAAAGTGACATATCAAGTTTCTACTCTGATACTTGAAATAACGTTTGATCTAAGAAGATTCCTAGGATTTTAATTAGACTAGATTATTCAACATTGTTATTTACTTGTAACTGCATAGATTATTACTGACACATGAGTTTAAAGTCATTATATTTATTTAATATTTTGTCGAATATTCGTCTGCACATATGTCGACGTGTCAAGAATAAAATCACACATTCCTTGTTGAGTAGCGTTACTGTAGACGCGCCATATGTTTCGATGCTGTTTTACCGATCAGATGTTTTATCCATGATCTGAGATTTTGATCAGGAGATGGCGACTTAAGTATTTCCGAGAACTTTTAATAAACGAAAGAATAAATTTTTATTGTGCAAAATGTTTATGAGTTCCAAGATAACGTTTTTCTAAACAAAAAAACTTTACGTATTAGTCTATATTATTACATTAAATTATAATTAAATGTTTAGTATAAAATTTAAAAAATGAAATAAAAAATTAATATTTATTTATATAGAAGATAATTTGTTTATAGAAAAAATTGGAGAAAAATAACAATTGTATTATTGAAATATAATTATCAAAATATTTAATTTTAGCCTAAGTGTGTTCAATAATATTTTAATTAACAGACGTACTGATTTAATTAATTTTTTAATCATTTTTTATTTTTATGGGAATAAATTACAACTAAAGTAATATATTTGAAAAAATGCTTAATACTGTTGCAATTATTTTTTCTATACAAAAATTATTTTCCTATATTTGAGCCGCTTATTTTGAAAGTGGCCTAACTCCATCTTCCAAAAAAATCGAGTTAGCTACAGTAATAGTTACATTTTTACATGATCTTTTCATTCTGAAGCAATTTGTTACAAATATATTTAAAATTACGAAGATATTGTAACTAGAAAATTTGTCAATCAACAGAATGATGAAAAAGTTTATTTTGAAAATGGCCTAATTCCATTTATCAAGTATTATTTTCCAGTAGACCAAAAAAATTCGACAATATTATATTGACACCACTGTATGAAAATATCAGACAAATTACAACAGCAAAATTGAAGAACATAATAGACCTACTACGATTTATACGATATAATAATTTGATATTCTTTTTATGGATAGATGAGTTAACTATACAATAGCGCTTCATACAGCAATTAAGAAGATTAAGGAAAAAAATAATCTTTAAATTTAAATTCACATTAATATCAATATCAATTGGTGAAGCAGGTTACTTTCCACAAAAAAAAATATGTACTAACATTTAATTATACGTAATAAAATAAATAATACATATTCTGTTAGATTGGTTCACAAGTACGTTCTATTCTTTCTAATTAAAAGTTTAAAAATACAGTTCAAACCGTACGGATTTATTAGATAATCAAATACATCATATTAAATACAATATTATGAATTAATGTTACATTTGTCTTCATAGCTCAGATAGTAGAACACTCGCTCGGAAAACGAAAGGTACTGGGTTCGAATCCCAGTCTAGACAACAGAAGCCCGAATTGTCCAATAGTTTTATCTTATACTGCGAATTATAATGATAAGGAAGATCCATAACTACATCCTCTTTGTACAATTATCTTTGAAAAATTCTCACACACTTGCAAATGTATCATGCGAGTGAGCGTATTCAGTGATTTAAGGAAGTTGTTTTTGACAATATATCTTTTGTTTTTGGTTTGGTTTTTAACATTGTCAATATACATACATAAGCCATAAACGACCTTACAACAGCCTAATCAATAGAGTATTTAACATATAATTTTTGGTAGTCTTCTTTGCTTGAAGCGTCTCTCCAAAACACATTAATATATTTATAGTAACTAAACGTTATTATTTTAATCTCTACATATTGCAGTCTGTTATGAGATCAACAGGGTAAGTAATGGAAAACTAAAACATAAAAAAAACCATTACGTTTTGGGCAAGCCTTTAGGGCAAAGAAGAGGTAAAGAAGGATAAAGGAAAGGATTGGAAGGTGATGGGAGAATATATACAATATTTACAATATTTACAACTATATCTAAAGAACATAGTGTCTAAGGCACCTACTGTACAAATTATTATATATAATATTGTTATAATTAATACTGATCTAGTTAATGGTGTTCAGTCTTATTGTCAAATATGATATTAAGTCCGTTGCTGCTGCTCTTCTTGCAGCTGCGACCGATGTTGTCTTTTCTCTCTTGCTTTACGTCTGATTTTGTCGATGTGTTTGGCATCATTCTGAAGCCACCAGTAGTTCTTAGATAGTCTATCCAGACTTTGATGGTCTTTAAGTAATAAGGCTTTCGAGTAGACTCATTTATCGTTAGGTATGTTATCAATATCAGTCATAATATATCTTGGCTGGTGTAAGGCGGTTTGAGCTTTTTCCTTGAATAGCCGACGGTAGTAGCACCAGCGCTGTCCTGCTGGCGCGGGAGGCCCCTCTGCGGTGTTGCTAACGGTAGGTGAGCGTGCTCTCGTGTTCTCGTGGTCGAGGGCTAGGGCGGGTTGTGTAAGAGCTGAGGGCCGGCTTGCTACGCTGCTCCGTGAGGTGGGTCGCCAGACCTGAGGGCCTACTAGTTCCGCTGGGCAGGGACCGTGATGATGAGCTGAGAGATAATAGGTGAGCAGTCAATTGCCTCGAGGAGGGCTGGATCGACGCGACGTCGTCGACGGCTGTTCAACAGCAGGTTCGTCGTGTGGTTGGAGAATTTGTCGGTGCATATCCATCATGTGGTTACAAGTAATAATTTTGACTTGCGTCAGGAGACTGTCCGTGGTTTCAGCGAGGGTTTTGAGCGTCGAGTTGATTTTTACGAGCTCCGTAGCCATTTGGTCCCGTTGAGGGTCGTTAGGGTTGCGGAAAATCTCGATGATCTCGTCGGCCATGTAGGTGAGCTTGTCGAGGTTAGCGGACTGCAGGGGTCGCAGTATCCTGGAGACGTTCAATGGAAGGAGGTTCAGCCAACGGATCGGGATAGCGTCATCGCCGACGATGTCGCCGGTTAGGTTGCGCATACGATAGAGGAGATTAGAGGGCCAGCGGTCACCCATGGTGAGGCCTGAGAACAGCTTGTGCAGACGTTGCGCTGCGGTGTCGTCGAAGCGGAAGAGAACCTGCGCCTTAAGGTGCTCGTACCTGCCTGCCGGGAGCACGTTGATAAGCACATTGAGCAGTTCCTGTAGTGGATCACTGTCCAGACCAGCGACCGCCGAGTGTAGCGCTGGATATCTGAGTGCACGTCGAAGCAGATAAAGATCGATTCCAGCTGAAGAAACCACGCTTCTGGACATTGTCGCAGAAACGGCGGATTGCGGAAGGCCACGTGACGTCCGACGTCGACAGTAGTACTTGCTATTGCGTCCTCGTGGAGAGGAGCAGTGGAGTCGGTGTTTAGGTCAGCAGCCGGTACAGGACTCCGGCGTTCAGCGCCTTCCTGGATAGGCGAGTCCCTCATGGCAGGCGCGCTCAGCATGTTGTTGGTATTGTGCTAAGTGGTTTTAGTGGGTATGATGGGCATCTTTGTTGAGGTCGACAATCTACGTGCCGCACAACAACTGAACGCTTGATAAAAGTCGTGTCGCAGAACCATCTTTGTTGAGGTCGAAAAGGTACCGGACAAAAGATGACTATGCTCGCGATAAAAGTTCTCGAAGGCAGCGTCGGAGAGCACGTGGTAGCTGCCGAAGCTCGAAGATGGTCCCAAATCACGTCAGGGTCACCAATTTGGGATTTCGAGATATCGAACCGATAGCGTTAAAGCGAGTTTCCTTGACTGGAAATCGTTCCGTAAGAGAGGAGAATAAATAATAGGGAAAGCCGGGTTGAGATAAATGAAATCACCACTTTATTATTTGTGATCTCGAGGGACGAGCTTTTATTCAGAGACGATGAGTACAAAAGACGTTGATGTGATGTATAATAGCGAGATGATTCCAAGCGCGGGCAGGTGTCAGCAACTGACCTGGTGCGAACCACCATATATCTATAATTCGCGGTCGTTGATAAAATAGTTGAATAATTTGGTTCAAAAGTTGTTTTTAGGTAGCTCAGATGGACAAAGCATTCGCCCGAAAATAAAGCGAGTAAAAGACTCATTTTTTTGTGAGATTACATTTTCCTAACTAATTGATCTCATAAATTATATGCTTAGATTTAGTAAATAAGTATATACTAATAATAAAAAAGAATTATTTTTGTGAAAAAATAAAATAGTCATTCAATTAAAACTTAATTTAATATTATTACAGTTAAACGAATATTTTCGTTTGACGGATATACTTATCATCGTGTTGATTCTGCAAAATATTTTGGGTACACAGTTTTCAATGAGGATTTCGCATACAATTGGTTAAATGTATTTTATGTATCATATATTTTATGTAATAAATATTTAATATATATCTAATGAAACTATCAAAAATATTCAGACTAACTACATTTCTTCATACTTCGATTATTTATAAAGCAATCCCTGGAGATATTGTTTTCAACAATAGGTCAATTATTAATATTTTTAGACATATATTATTTATTTTTAATATTTACTAAATTTCTAATAAAAGAAATAATGTTAAATTAATATATGGTATTGCAAAATTTGAAAGTTCCAATAATGATTTTTGGTTGCGTTTCATTATGTGGATTATGTGGAAGTGGCTCATTTATCTCTTATTATTTTAATTCTGTAGAGAGAGAGAGAGAGAGAGAGAGAGAGAGAGAGAGAGAGAGAGAGAGAGAGAGAATATAGTTTTTATGATAATACTTATATACCGGATAGCATAAATAGTTTATTTTAAGTAAAATTTAACGACGAATTATTATACATCGAATATGTTTAAAAGAGGAGACATTAGTTGTTTCAAACATAACTAATGACTTCCTGTTAGTTTATAACGTAAGCTCTTGAAACTTATGTTATTTCAAATGTTAATGATCACAAGCTTAGACAATTTTAGAAGGTGCATGAGTAACACGTGCACATTAGAAGGATTTCTACTTGTTCTCCGCAGGCGCATTATGTATATACTAAGCGCAATGTGTTATCGCAGCATTACACTTCATTATGTTCTACCATGTTTAGATATAATTTACTATATACCTTGAACAAAATTTTACGAGTATCTCTTTAGGAAGAAAAAGGTTGATAATGAGAAAGAACAAATCAATATTAATGTTTATAATATTTTCGTGAAAATACGATATTCATAAAATATTTGTTTTTAGCATAAATCGTTAAATTGTGTATCACTTAATATTAAAAAATTAATGCTGTAAGATTACAGTCAAGGCTATTATATAAAAGATAAATTAGGAAAAAAAGAAGAACCATTGACGCCAAATAAAACACCAAGTATTTTATTCTAGGATTGAGAATCATTGTTCTAGAAGAATCATGATCACTTTAT